GCACTTCATACAAGTGTGTGCTTCAAAAGGAATTTGATTTGATTGCTGGAATCTGCAGTGTCTTGGTCACTTGACAAGAGCTCAAACTACCAGTAAGTCCAGTACGTGACACAGACATGTACCAAAGGAATACAGAGATCATTATCAGGACCAGGAGGCAAACAAGAGGGAATCACGAGAGGATCTGTAAGTATTACACGTTACTTTTAGATGTTCTTCTTGGGTTTAGGGACAAGTGCCAGATTTCAGAAGATGAGCAGCGAGTGTCATAGGATTGGGAAGGGGGGAAGTGCTTTGAGGTAGCAGTTGAGGAAGGAGGTCTGTGAGAAAAGATTCGTCATTCCACTTAATGTCCCTGAGAAACAGGCTCCACAAGACTATTTTCAAATTGGTTTCCGTTGTTGTCATTGCTTTGTACTGCAGAACGCAAAGGTAATTTCCAACTAAATGGAGCTACAGCTGGAGAGGGTAATTCAGATAAGGCAAAACACAAGTATTACAAAACTTAAATCAATTAAGCCATTTCATTTAACACATTTGGGAAACCTGAGAACACATTCATAAAGACAGCAGGACCACTTCTAAAGAGCAGCATGCGGAGCAAGAAACACGTTGGATGAGGTCTGCAGCAAACAGTCCTCTGCAACGCTACAAACAGGATACTGAAGAACAGAGGGACGTGGTTAATCCACACTCTAATTAACAACCAATTTTGCAAAGCTTACACACACACAACTTGTGTGCCTTGGGTAAACACTTCTCACAATAAACCCTTCTCACACTGCTGGTTAGTTAGTCTCTATTCTTGTAATAAATTCTAAAGATCCTGAAGACTCTCAACTCTGTCAGTGGGCAGCAACAGAGCGAGAACATCTCCCCCTCAGTCCCACCTCAAATTACTATCTTCTGAAAATACAGTACTTTAATGATGTTGAGATTTTTCCTGAAATTATATCTATGTTATGCCAATTAGAGGTATATGGCAGCAAGACAGTCTGAATTTCTTTCACACATCCTCAGTAATTAATATACTTCAGATTTTAACACTGCCTGGTATCAAAGCAGTCAAAAATAAGCATCCCATAAAGCAGCAGCATCACATTTAGGAAAGGTAAGCACCTAAACACATATTCCTATTTATACTATATTCCCCCTTTGCTGATTTTTCTCTCAGAAGTTTATTGCAGAATTGTTTTGAAAAGAGCTCTAGTGTATATGAATGTCAGGGTTGACTGAGCTCTGTCTGGGATATGAAGCCTTTCAGACATGTCTTGCATGTCCACTAGCAGCACACATGAACAAGATCTTCCAAGAATTCCATGCCAGCAACTATTCTCTATATCCAGTGAGATTTTATAAATACAGTTGTGTCAGTCAACTTGTTTCTACTGAGATGGAAAGCAAGGAACTGGCACATACCCCTCCTGACATTCCCATGCTAGACTCCTCATTTGCACTGCTAAATACTTCTCTGTATATTGGTCCGCTGCTGAAACCCTGCTAGATTTACTCTAGTTGAATAAATCTGGCACCTGGATCCCCAAGTGCCAGAACAATTATATTTTAAATCCATAGAAGGTTATATGCTATCCTTCACAGAACACTGGGATCCAAGTAATTCTGCCAATGCTTGAAGCACACACCTGCACACACTCCTTTTTAAGAGCATGACCAGTGTAAACTGGTAACTACGGCCATCTCACTCAGATTTCTCTTACCTTTCACATTTTTCTGATCTTCCTTCTATCAAGATGTGGATTTTTTATCATGTTTCCAAATGCATCCACAGTTTTCAAACCATCTTGCATTTCTAGCTGTTAAAGAGTTTTCAAAACACTCCTCTATAAGCAGCTGAAAGATGTTTTATGCCATACTGTGTGGACATGGGGCAAGCTACACAGAAATGAGTTTTCAAAATGCTTCATGGAAACAGGTGACATATAATCCATCTCGGAGGCAGATTATCCAAAAAATCTGGCACAGTTCATTTCTATGATTTGTACCTTTCACAGTATTGAGAAAAAATTCAGATCTGAGTCATTAAGCAAAAATGATGATGAAACATTAAACTTTCACTTGCCCTTCCATGCCCCAGTGTTAAAATGTTTGTCTTACATGAACATAACCTGATTGCTCTAGAGTCAAAAGCATCAAAATTAACTGCTAAAACTATAAAGATTTATTTCTTCCCACTAAATGAAATCAAATTGCTTTCTTCAGTGTAGTATTTTTCAAAACTATCTTCTATGACTTCAGTTGTTGGGTTTGCTGCAAGTTTCTAGATGCTTTAGTAAAGGCAGAAGTGATGATTCCACAAGATTCAATTAGATTAGGCTTAACGTGGAGCTTTAAGAAGCAATGCTGGTAGCAAGAGAATGCTAACTTTGCCTAAATGGAAGCAAGTGTGATTGATACCTAAACGCTCTACCATTTTAAAAGGTGGCAAGACATAACACTAATACTCCATACACAAAGTTTAAGCAGAAAAACCTGTAAGATAAAATACTCTGGCAAAAAAAAAATCTGTATCTTCAGTTACAAATATAAGAGCAAAGAACAGGAAAGGGTAACATGTATTTGCAAACTGTATTTCACTAATTAACTGCAACAAAGGTGCTTTTAGTCTCTGCAGAGTGTGTTTTCCCACCAATACACCCTCCTTTCTACAAGTGAGTAAGAGAGTTTCAATGCATCTTTTCAGTCTAACACATTTTTAACCTTGCTCTGACTGATGAAGCAGCTCATTTCTGTTTGAGACTACTGCTTTCTGAAACAGGAGTCACTTACTTGGCTGGCCAGAGACTGTCCCAAGTCCCTTACAGCCACAATTTCACTGACTATCTAGTGTCCACGCTGCTTTGGACCTGGAGGAAGGACATAACTTGTAAGTGAGGCAGTACTGAATGCTGAGCACTCAAACCTCATCTGTCCCACCACTGGGATATGGGAACAAATAGCCAGTTGTCACCAAGATAGACTACTTCAAACCACATGGAAAGGCTACAGATGACAGTCATCTCCGCTTAGCTGATGCGAGCAAGGCTGGGGAACAGAACAAGCAGGTAAATCTTACGAAGAACCACATCTTCTTTTGCTTTCCCGTACCAATTACACTCAAATCCCACCAGAAAAGCAGGCCCTCCCGCCCTTCAGCAGGTAACGTTTGCATGCCCATCACCTCTAGGAAGTAATCCTCACTTAAAAATCCTGAGAGCCCACATGACCCTGGTTCACCAAAACCACCACTCCACAACTCTCTGACGGGAGCAGGACTGGTTTTCATTACTGTAAGAAGTCTTTTACCTTCAAAATCCATTTCTGGAAATGAAGTTGCTTTCTGCACTGACAGTCTTCACTCTGAAAACTTTTAACTTCTATTACCTGAGAATCAAAAATGCAAAGGCAAATTGTTCTTGCCCCATTTCCCTTGCAACAGCTATTGTTTAAACTTGCTTTCCATTACCTTAAGAAATGGTTTAACTAACACTGCAAATACATTTGGGGAACACAGCAACCATCTCCAGCACGGAGCAGAACCAAAATGGTAACTCCAAAGTATGCTGAATGGAGGAGACTGAGGTAGGCTTTCTGTTGGTTTTATCTTAAGGCAGTGCCGTGTTCAGTACAGCAGCAAGGAAGAATGCAACGAGGAAATCACAAGTCATTGGTGTTTGTTAAAACTATTTCTCAATTCAAATAGTTTTCTTTTGAAACAATTCTTTTTTTAATCAAGATATTGCATACCTCATTAAGATGGGTTTGCAAGATTTTCCTTTTCTCTGTAGGCAGAGGGATAAAAAAAATAACTTACAAAAAGTTACTGACTTTGATGACTCCTTGGGTAACAGCTTAAACTAGTTTCTACCACGTTCCAAGTTTTCTAGTCTCTGACAACCTGTTTCATCTTACCCATTTTTTTCAAAGAGATGCAAGAAAACTGGGTTGTTTTGAGTACCATTAAGACATTTAAACCATGTTGACATTCCTGATGGATCTTCAGATGGCCATACCTACGATTTTAGGAATAAACCTTATACCACTACAAAGTGCAAAGACTGTTCTATTGAATTACCAAGATGCATTTCTGGGATACTTGGCTCTAAGGAGTTCTCTGCCTATTAAGTAGGAATTCAGCACATACTGAATCCCTCACTTAGGGTAAGTTTTCTCTTTCTTTTTGAACTCTTAAAAAAAAAAAAAAATCAGATCCCTTGTTGAGAAAAGAGTATCCAGAATGAGTGCCCCTGTTTTGTATGTTTGTGGGTTTTCTTAAATGAAAAATCAACTTTAAATATAGATATTCCGAAATCATGCAGTTTGACATTAGTCATGGTTTTAAGTAGTGTGCATAACCTTGATCACCTCTGCTTTCCAGGACTAAATACGTTATTGGGCTCTCCCATATCCATTCTTTTATAGTTGGATTCACAGATCTTAAAGGTGTTTTCCAACCTAAATGATTCTACAAGTCTATGATTTATAACAGGATTTTTTTTTTTCCCCTGGTGCACAAATCAAATCATGTATCAAGAAATTCTCAGTGAGAAGGGTGAGCTCTTTAATGAAAGGTATCCTCTCTCCCAGAGAAAGTATACTGTAAACCTTACCTGTCAGTTTGTCTGAGCTAAATACAACATTAATGTCCAGGTGGTCGCTCTTCACATATCCATTATCAGGACAGTCCTTGCACTGAGAAATTACGATCCACAGTGCAGCGGAGGTAATGGACAATCTGTGATAGTATGAATGTGCTTTCATTCAAGAGCTAAACATGTTACATACTACAAAAGAGCATTCTGAATGAGTGCATTGTAACTCGATAGCAATTTACAAGGGAGCAGTCGAGGCCCATTGTAAAAAACCCTCCTATAAACCTAAAACATTTTAAGATCGCCAGTCAAGCAACTCTATATTCCTACTGCATAATGCCAAATAATGAATTACACCTTTCAAGGAGGAACCATATTGGATTTTTTAAAAAGGCCATGCCACAGGGATACAGTTCTTTGTCTTTCCTAAGGAGATCATTGTACATCTGATCATATGTTGTTTTGAAATCGTAAACATTTGGCTTGTCCGGTGCTGGTCCTGGCAGTTTCACATGAGTCCCTGTTCCAAAGGATCGGACACTGAATCCTCGTTTGCTGAAAGACAGAAGGGAAGAGAAGGGGAGGGAAAGGCAATTAGATTGGATGGACTTTAAACACCAAAGTGCTGAAGAACATGTAGTGAATTTTAAAAACAGCTCTTAGCAATCAGCCAAATCACAACCAAACAGTTGGGCAATTCTTATCAACTAAGTTGCCAAACATACCCAATACGCATATTTCCTCACAGTTACAATTAAAACTCACACATCATTTCTAAAGGCACCTGTATTTTATATGAAATTTTCTTAGAAAGATGGTACACAGCACTTTGGATATTTCTTTTGCACTTTCAGACATCTTGGATTTGCAACAAGCACGTGTTCTATATTCACTCTTGTATAATACAGTACAGGCAGAGGTGTTTTTGTCTTGATATAACAAAGTAAGTAACAATACCAACTGATCAACACTCGTGTTCTGCTGAAGTTGCTGAGTTAACCACATTATTCCCCTCACTGCGTTGCCAAAAACTACCTCTTGTGGGATTTAATTAGCCTACTACAAACATTTGTGTGCCTTTTCTCAAGTGGACTGAAAAACATACTGTGTAATTACCTTTACAGAAGCGGGGCACATATTCTGCTGGCTGGCACCTAAAACTCTCGGGTAAGCCAGGGACAGCTTCATTCCATTCTCATGAACAACCACTTGTTTAATAATTATATATATTTTTTTTTTAAGAGGCAGGAACCTGCTTGTCTTTAGGGGTAATGATAAAGTATTCTTTCTGATTAACCTAAATACACTACTTGAACCTCAACAAATCCTTCAGAACTATTAAGAAACGTTGCAATATATTTGTTGAATAACAGGAATGAGGAGAGATTGTTTTCTAGTTGTCTAATGGACAGAGTTACATGGTAAAATACTGTTGTACAGAATACTGAACATTTGGCTTTATAATGTCTTTTTTTTTTTTTTAAGGACCCACACCTCCACATTTATCAGAGACTGAATAGAAAGAACAGTGTTAAAACAAAAACAAAAAGCAAGCAAACAACCCCATGCCCCTCCTCTGCTCCCCAAATTTAAAAGAGTTGTGGAGCCTTCTTCTGAGAAGAAAACAACGGGAGACTGGGAACCAGTGCAAGAGTTCCGAGCACACATTTTGAGCAACAGACAAGTCACATCTTGACTCCTTGGTCTTCACATATGAGAAAGGAAATTCAGCAGAAGACACACCAATTCAAATTGCATGTTTGCCTCCAAACAGTGTCTTCCAAGGGATGCAAAAAGCTTTCACACAGAGATGAACTGATCAAGCTTTGCCCCAAGCTGGAACACTGCTCTGCTACTATCAATAGTGTTAATTCCTTTGATTTGTCCTATTGGAACACAGCCCTTCCTTTCTCTTTTCTTGCTTCACTACACTTTTTCTTCCAGTAACTATTTATAAGTTCCTATTTCTGTAAATAGACAGGATATATGATGATTTTTTTTTGCTTCTTTCTGCAGGACTTATGACTGAAAATGGATACAAGTGGAAAAAAGTGCAATTCCTTCCCCTTCCCAGCCCTCCATCACATTAACAGTGACTCATAACTGCACCAGTTACATTTAGTTTATTTTTCCCTGCAATACTTCCAGACCAGAGTTTTTATTCTACTGTTTCTACTGAACATGAAGAGAGCTATAACACAGATAAACTGCAGTGCTAAAATATTAATGTTTCAAACTGATCCTTTTTCTACGTGTCTCGCCCTTCTTCTTTCCTTTCTATATCTACCACTTGAAGCTATTTTTGCTAAGAAATTTAATACCAACTAACTGAGAAAGAGTGGACTTTGACAATGCACAGTTTCTGCTTTCTTTCCTTCTCTCCCACGTTACTGAAAGCAGTAATGGATGGAAAAGTATTGTCTTCTATGCTTTCCTCTTAATTTTTCCTTTAATATTCTCTGAAACAGGTCTGCTTGGATCACACACATTAAGAAGCCCATCTCCAACCGTCAGAAGCGTCTTTGAAGTTCACATGACTGCATATAAAGCAAAACAGAAATCTTCATTTGAAGTTCCACACATCAAAAATTAGTGCTTCCAATGTACACTTCCCATTGAAAATTACTTCCTTGAAGAGCCAGAATATGCATTTCTCACATGGAATTTCATGCTTTGGCACTAGCAGTTGCCAGGGTACAGCTTTTACATAATTTATGTACGAGGTGTACTATTATGAAATATTCTGAAAAAGTTTCCACTCATTTCTTGCAACCATTGGGGGGTGGGAGAGAGGGAAGAATCCCTGCACAGAACCATTATTCAACAGAGCCTGCTTTTATCAAGGAGCTGGACAGATCTAGTTTAGTGAGTCATCGAGTATCTGTTGTAATGTGGCAGTCTTTTAACAATGAACATCTTCTACAAGGCAACATATATCTAGTATTTGTTCTTGGCCTAGTAAAACTACTCAGAAGATGGAAAATAATAAGCTTCAACTTTACCATAAACAGAAAAGGGTAAGACAGACTAATATACAATCCTACCATTGATTTCTGAAAACATGAAGCTTAAACATTAACAGACCTGTAAATGTTGTGAAATTTCAGGAAGCTGTTTCTATGAATTCTATTAAGACCAAGGTACATAAACTATCAATACACTAAGTACAAATATAACCCAGTACACAGATCTAATTTTCAGCCAGGATGTTCACCTCGGTTTAAACCCAAAGCTCATTACAATGAGATCACACGGACTAATCATGTGCCCATGAGTTTAGAGACTTCTAACTGAAGAACCTGAGAACAGTCACTGCATTTCCCTCCAAAGAATCTCAGAGCTGGCTGCGGTGTGTCTCACCTGGGACACAACTGCTGCTGAGAGCAGAGATCAACACAGGACGACATCAACACGTGACAGAGTCGCTGCCCTCAGTTTCAGGCACCGAGAGGAGAAATTATATTAATCTGTGCAAACTGAGACATGAACTTTTTAAATCCACACCTTTCTTCTATTTCATTGTTATTTTGGGAATCTGACACATGCTTATTACCTTAAGGTATTTTCAGCTTACTGTAAGGTCATATTGGTACAGCTTCTCCTCTTACAGTGGCCAGCAGTGTTACCAAACATTAAAGGAAATGCAAGATTCCTGCAGTACCACTGCAGCTGACAGTGGTAAAGATTTTCAGTGGACAAATCACTCATTTTAATACATCCCCTTGCAGGAAAACAATTAGCAGTGCCCTTGTTGTAGACCACTTTGAAAATATCTTATGTCATTTAATCAATATTAAAAAAACAAACCAAACCACCTCCCCTCAAAACCCCACGCTGTTAAACAGCAGGAACACAAGCATTGTTGACTAATTTTGAAATCTTCAAAACATTAACAACTTGTAATTTGCATTATCAGTGATAAGCTGTCAAATGAAAGTGCTTTAATACAAAAATGTTAAAACATTTCTTTCTTCTTGAGGGTTTATTAATACAATTTAAAACTTCTTGAATTAAGTAATACAGGTTTCAATACCTCACTGCATTTAGCTGTTGACCAACAATACCAGGAGAGAAGCTGTGACTAGTGACTTAACTTGCACCCTTGTAGTTTACCTAAGTTCTCTTACCTGGTTAATGTTGACCTACAAATCATAACATCAACATGAAATTTAAGTTTCAGTTTCTAGGGTTTCAATATTTCAATCTGTTTACTGCTGCTAAGATATCTCATAGTCACTCTCCTAATTTCTTAAGACACTTTGTTTTCTAAAGCAAAGGAACGTGGATGTGTATCGATATCCTACAAGTTTTCTTTATCAATAGTGACACAGACACCCTGAGCTCGGGAGATTGAGACAGGATATCTCTACCTTAAGAGTCTGAAAATACAGTTACCACAGCACCTCCTATACACTGGGAGAGTTTGAAATGTTGAGGGTTCTTTTTAAAGGCCATCAGTGTACTACCAAATACATATACCCAAACAGAAGTGTTAAAGTTGCTGTATAACAAAGTTTGTTAGTAAGAGAAGCGTTACCCTTCCACCTTCCTCTTCCATGTCTGAAGGAGAATCATGGTCTAAGTCTGCATACTATGGCAAAAAAACCAAACCAAAACAAAACCCCAAGACCTATACATAGATTATATTTGTAAAAGCAAGAAATGTAGGATGAGTAAGATCTGACCTAGGACTGGTTACAGACAGACATCCAGTTTGACAGCTTTTAAGGAAGGATTATGTCTTTTTTCCTCTCTTCCCTTTGCTATAATGTCGCAACATCCCCATATGGTGATGGTAACTATTCTATTAACAAACTTCAAAAGACCTTCAATCTGACTTCTGTTGGAAGATTAGAACCAAATGTTTAAAACCTGGTTAGTTAGAAAATACAAAAGGACACTACAAAGCAAATGGGATCTACTGAACCAACATAACACCAGAGAGCAGTGGATTTATTATTCAGATATGAAAAAGATCTAATGCACCATTTGTTTTCCAGAGGCTCCAGTGGCAGCACAAAAATAAAGTACAGTTAAGGATGAATGAGAAATTCAGGTTGGCAAGAGAGACTCATTGCAAACCCTTTTGGAATGAACCGCTGCAATTTAAAAGGACAGAAAGTTTGTAACTGTCTCCAAAAAGTAATTCTTATTATCTGATACATGAAGTTTAAAGAAAGAAAGAAAAACAAACCCCAACACCACCACCACTCCCAAAATTGCCGAAGTGTGTGAAGAAAGTATGTATTACAACGTTGCTGGTCTGAGTCTAAAAGAGAGAACACTGGGATGTTATAAAATTTAAGTCCGTTAATGAAGCCTCTTTAGCCTGTTTAAACCACTTCATGATTTCATGAGTTTAAAAGGATAAACTAAGAAGAAAAATAAAAGCAAGAAGTGATGGACTGCAGGTACTGCCAACAAAAACCTGCCAGGTAAATCAAATGTTTCACTGAGATGTTATACGTCGAGGGCTAAATTTTAGGTTTTACAAATGCATCAGAAGTTAAAATTCAGACAAGACCATTTTTTTTTTTTTGCTTTAAAAGGAAGTAGCATACAATAAGTTAAAGTTTTAGTAGGCACTAGGTAGGCCTAACATGGGGAAAGTAAAATAAACTTGCCTTACTGAGAACTACTTTGCTCTATAAATTGAAGAATGGAATAAGCAAAGTTACTGATAAAAATTCTACATCAAAAGTTTGGCTTAACTAAAGCCTGTAATTCATTAAAACTCTGAACAGACTCGAGAAGTTAATTCTGAAACCTGACTTACAGCATTACAAAAATCTAAAAGGCTCATAAAATATAAGACAAACACTTCAACAAGAATTTTAATACACTTCCTACTATCAATATTTTTTTTTAAAACCCCTATCTAAAATACTTATGCAAGATCTTGGGCTACACATTACAAAGCACTGTTTATGGATGTTCATGAAGATGTTCAACATGGAAGGCTGGATTCCACACTTTGTTTTCAGTCACCTGCAGTTCTGGAGAATTTGTATCCTTTAAAGTCTTGGAATTCCTTCACAAAATACCTTAAAGCTTCATAATACCTCCATTTCTTCCTAACTCTTCTTCCTCTTTTAATCATGTGGGGTTTTTTTTCCCAACTGTAGTGCAACATACAGCAAGATATTACCCTGAACCTGTAAAGCAGACTGGCTTTGAGCTAATGTAATTATTTTCCTGAAGTTTACTGGCAAATGAACACTCTCTTTGCATGGGCTAGTTATTTTTTTTATAGCTGCACCAGCAATTCCTCTCTATTTCATCATTTATGCTATTCCTGCTAGAATTACATACAACGCTGCTGAAAATAAACATTTTCCAAATGCATACATTTTGTTATTTTTAATAGAAATCTTAAGGGAGAAGATACTTTCAACAAAACATTTCCCTGCCACATTTGCCAGAAGAACAACATCAGTCACACCGGAAGTGATTTACTTCTGCAAAAACAGAGAGGAAGAAACAGGCTAGATATTAGAAGTGAATTTAACTTTGTCCTTAGCACTCAGGTTTCAGTTAAGACTCAGTTCCAGTGTTATTAGCAGAAAAACAACAGAAGAATAGCATCCTTTTCCCCAAGCAGCTATGTTTTCAGAGAACTCCCACAAGTAACATCTGATGCCAAGTTTAAGCATTCTCGGCATCGTATGCTGCTCACAGTAAGATGGCTGCCAGACCAGATGCTTCTATTAATTATTCCTTTCAAGGCTGTTGTTTTTATTTAAGTGTAGCAGACATTTTACACATAGTTGTTTAGCTTCCTGTACTAGCAATACGGATCTTTTAATGTGTATGTTACTTTGCATAGTAAAAAACCCCCCAAAAAGCCTTTATCGTGTCCCTGCAGTGCACAGGGAAGATTTAGGAACATGATTTCAGGCAGATCAAGTCTCTCCCACCCCTCAGTCCATCCCCAGCCTCCCATCTCTCCTTTTGAATTCAGCCAAGCTGAAAATACTTGCAGTGCTAAATAGATGAATCCTCATTAATCTCAAAGACATGTAATGTTCTGAACTAAACACTTTGTCCAGTTTTCCTGCAACAGGAAAAGGCTCCTTTTCAGCGCACAGAGTGGTTCCAGTCTTCAGGTACATTATAGTGGGGAGGGGGGGAAATTTAAAAGATAAAAAGAGTGCTTAAGTTTTCAGATGCCGAGACACAGGAACTGTTCTGCCCCTGTGGAATTCGCCAGCTCGTGTTTTGCAGCACTCAATCCGCAGGTCCGCCGGCGACACTGGAGCAGACCCCCGCGTACCGGCCGCTCCGGTGAGCCCAGCCTGGAGCAGGGCCCGGCGGAGACGGGTTACAAACAGGATGAAGCCCCCAAGCCCGCGGGCCCAGCAGGGTCAGGCGCAGGCCCCAAGCACGGCCTCGGGCCGCAGCTCCCCGCTGCCCTGACAGCCCACTCGGGCCCAGCTCCGGGGCAGGGAAGGCAGCGGCGTCCGCGCTCCAGCGGTCTCGGAAGGGGCCCTGATACGGTCCGGAGGAGCGGCCTGGCGACGGAAGGCGGCCACCAGGGCCTAGGACGCACCGGTGGGGCCGGCCGG